CGGAGTGCGTGCGGGGCGCAGGGCACCGAAGGCCGAGTTGTGCCTGGCTCAAAATGGCGGCGCCGGCTCCTGTCAGTGAGGGGAGGCAGCCACTGCCCTGCAGGCCTGCGGTTGTGTATCGCCGGTTCCTTCTTTCCAACATCATTTAGACCCACTGAAAGCGTGAATGGCGCCTCCTAAAGAGGGAGGATGTCGTTAGCTGGGCATATAGACGAATTCCTGTGGAAAATAATGTCCAGCCTCAAGTACAGAGCCCTACATGAGGGACGGATCCAGATGGGATGGGCAAAGACTTCTCCACCTGCCCCACGCTTCCCGTCCCAAGGAGTCCTGCCTGGCCCAAAGCATGGCACGGAGGACGGTCCAGTTGTCCTCTGCAGATACGAGACCCGATGCCTTGACATCCTCTTGAAGAGAAAAATGAAATACAGGCACGGTTCTCGGCTGACAACGTTTCACACTTAAATGGACACCCAGTCTCAACTTTCTGGTGTTGGTTTCAACTTTACGATGCTTCATCCGATGCGACGCCACGCCAGCGAACAAGTTGGCTGCGCTGCTCGTCTCCCTGGAGGACACCTGTCCATGCTTCCTGGGACACTTTCTTTAAGACAGCAGACGGGACGCCAAAAGAACCTGCAGCCAAGACTCCTGAGAAGACTCCAGCCAGGAGTCCTTCAGAAAGTCCAACCAAGAGCCCTTCAAAACGTTCAGCAAAGTCACCTCAAAGAAGTCCTTCCAAATCAATGTGATTGCTATTTACAATACAGATACATTCATGTAGCTATATTACTGATCTATAATTGATCAAGTACAAAATTTGGGGGTATTTTTGGTGAAAATAGGGTATTGGGCCTTGGTTCAGGAACCAATCTCCCTGTATAACATTGTTTCTTATGAGAAGATTGGTTCTGAGTTACAACGTTTTGACTTAAGACATGGTTTTCAGGAACCAATTGTGTCATAAGTGCGAGGACTGCCTGTGCAGTTTATAGAAAGCAAGACACAGAGACGTGGTGTGGGAAGACATGGTGTGGGGTGGCAACCCCACATGGTGAAGAGAAAACTAGAGGACATAAAGGCATCGGGTTTTGTGTCAATAGCAGAAACCAGAAATGTCCTCTATGACGGCCATGAACGCCACGTGCCCCCGGAGGCTGTGGGGGCATGGTGAGCTCACTGGCAGTGTCGGTGGCACTTTTTCATATAGACATTCAGGTTGGAAGGGACCCTGGGGGATCATTGAGTCCAGCTGCCATAGATTTCATAGACATTTGATAGATTTCATAGACATTTTTGCAGGGGGTGCACTGCCAATCTCAGGGGATGCACATGCACCCCCTACGCATTGCCAATGATGATGGCCACCCTATGGTTTGGCCGTGCCAGGCTGCCAACTGACAGCCCCCAGGCTAAGTATAATGGCTTGAATAAGGAGCTGGCTTTTGGGCTGAGATTATGATTGGAAATCCTTTTTTGGGCCACCCCACACCCTGTCTCTGTGGCTCAGGGGGACTCTCCTGGACATTTCTGGCCAGGGTCTTGCCCAGTCCAAAGCACAGTTTGTGCATGCACCACTGCTGACTAACAGTGCCCCCATAGCCATGAGGCTGAAGTTGGTTGCTCATGAAATTCTCTCTCTAGGATGTGTAATTCATTAATAATAAGCTTGTATTGGGTACAGATTCACTTTAAAAAAGGAACTGGGAATAATGAATGGGGAATAAGCCACCAACTTCAGCCTCATCCTTTGGGGTGCCTTGATCCTTTCAAGCGTGCCATGGGGTGCCATGCTGTTAGGTGTGCAAACATGACTTGCAAGATAAACCTAGAGATTTCATGTAGGACTCCGTAGTGTTAAAAACATTCTGCCCTGCTGTGGTCTTTCTGAGCTCTTTGCAACAGAATAATCACTCTAGTATTTTTCTATAGACAAAAAAAAAATGAAAATGAAGGGTTGGCATTTTCCAAGGGGTGCCTTGAGTCAAAAAAAGGGTCTTAAGGAAATACGAAGGATACCAATGGGCGAGTTGTCCCCTACTCTAAATGGCAGTCATCTCTTGCTCCTGTCAAGGAGGGAAGCAGAGAAGATGGCTACTGTTTTCCTAGAAGCTGTGCCCAGGGTGGTGGCTGGTTCTTGCTTTCCCATGAGAGTGAGGCCACGCCTGCAAGGAAAACGGTGGCCACTCTGTTTACAAGCTGCTCTTGGGACACAAGGACTGTGAAGAGCATGGAGCCCCAGTGAAAGGGGTCAATGGAAGAGGAGGGGGAGCAGAGCTGGGGCCAGGGTGATGTGGGGAAGACAAGAAGACAGAGGGGTTCAGAGCAGATTTTGGAACAGGATTGAAACTGCGGGGGGAGAAGAAGGGACTGGACTCCTTGGGGTATGATGAAAAAGTAGAGTAGATGGGGAAGATACTTTTTTCCACTGTGTGTTTAAGTCTGAGGATTGAGCCATTTACACTCGTACTTTGGAGGCAAGCGGCCTTCCCCTGGAACTTAAATCACAAAGCAAACCCCCACCATCAATTACAGAGAAATAGCATGATGTTGGGAACAAGGGGGGGTTTGTCTCATCAAGTGTGCAGGGTTGGCAATATTGTGCAGAGAACATAAATATCAATAGAGCTGCTTTTCCTAAACTGCAGGTTGCCAACCCCCGAAGGAGCTGTGTGGGGGAAGAGGTGTCAGATAGTGTAATTGATAGAGATTTAAAGGAGGAAAATTTTCCATATTTTTACAATAAGAGAAACCCAGCTCCCTAATTACACGATCCCTCTCTTCTTTTCTAGAAAATGAGCGCATATTATTGTCACCCTATGTGGGGGTATGTGGATCGAGTGCTTATCCGACAGATAGTCATATTGAAAGAAGAGCAGGGTGATACAAATGCCATGAGCTGGAATTCTTTATTTCCCAAAGTATAACTCTGCTACTAATGTTAACAACAAACCCAGCTATGCTTGGTTTCTGTGCAGTGTATTTTATTAGCAGTGGAAAGTGCTAATCTCATAATCAACATTGGAGAGAAATGCAAATTAATGATGAACTGCAATTCAGAGTAGAATTTAAAAAAATGTGCATTTATTGTCCTGCAGTGTACAAGTCTCCCACCTGATCCAATGCAGCTCAGCTCATTCACTTTTTCACCTTCCTCTATAACTAGGGGTCTGCTTGCAGTGAGACAAAGCAATTTTTGTGGTTTGATCATAGCATGAAGAGCTGATTTCACAGACATCTTCCAGTGGCTCCACCCCTCACCAGTGATTGGCAGAGAGGTAGATACTGTATAATTTAATAGCAGATTCTGTGGAAAGTAAATTATATCATAGAATTTATCATATTATAAATCTAAATATTACATTTAAATATACATTTAAATATATTATAAATATAAATTTTACATACAATATAAATTGCAACTTATATCATCATGATCTATTATATGTAGTGTTCTACAAAAAGTTTAGAAATACTAATTAAAGTTACCTTACTAGAAACAGTTTCACTTCACTGACTGACGCCTTCACTTCATCTATGTCACTAGCAAACAGTAACTCAATCATGATCTATGGCTGCAGTGATTGTCACATTGTCATTGTATTGTGGTAAGCATTGGGACATTCTAAAACAACGTATTACATGAGTAATATGCTGGGGGGGTGGTAGGTTGATTTTGTGGGCAGTCACGGCCAATGCAATATTTCCTGGCGATTGTGGACAATGTCATTTTTCGCAGTTTCCACAAAAACTGCCAAACCACAAATTAAGTAGATCTCTATCTATAACCTTGTTATAGTGAAAATGCTCAGAGAAAGTTGCAAATATTTGGACAGTTAGATAGGAAAAAGTATGGGAATCCCAGCAATAAACCATTTGTAGACATGTATAAGATAGGTCAAAGTCAGGCACAGGGACAGAAACCATTAAGTTGGTGTTAATATACTGATGATTCTCAGGTTATTATTATTCAGCACTAATTGTTTATCCCTGAATTATTAAGAGTAATATAGTAGTTTGTCTGGTTAATGAGCTATAAATTAAGCTTAACGAAATCCCTAACCTAAGAACTCTTACATACGCCTCTGCAGCAACATGCATAATGAATTCTTCAGGTCAGATCAATGTAAATGGCCACAAGGATCAAAGAAAAATCTCCAGAATCCTGTCCCTCTGCTAGCTGATTTTCAGGCAAGGGATTTAACAGTAATACCTAGCTCTCAGAGCTCTTTTCATCAGCAGATTTCAAAGTGCTTTACAAAGGAGGTCAGCATCATTACACATAGCACATTTTGTAGATGGTGAAACCACGACCCTGAGAGGTTAAGTGAATTACCGAAAATGAACCAGGACTAATGGTAGGGCCAGAAATAGAATCCTGGTGTTTTGGGTTCCAGTCCAGTTCTCTATCTACAAGAAGACAGTTCTAATACCATCACTCTTTGGAGCCTCTTACACTATATGTAAAGAACGTTAATCCTTTTTCATGACCTCATACACATCACAGTCTCACCTGTGCTTACAGTAGTCCAGTGCAGGATATCCTATGGCTGTTCTTATAGGGAGAGAAGCTAGGGATGCCATGAGATACAAGGAAGGCATCTCAATGCTTCCCTGTGATTTATAGGAGAAAAATATTACAAAATTAAGTAATTTCATAAACATGGATTGGGCTACCTTCCTGGATACACCCACCAGGGAGGTATTTGCCCCAGCCCTAGAATCCTTAGTTCTTCCCTGAAGTAGTGTTTTTACAGTAACTGTACAAATCTACAGTCCAGTTTCAGTAACTGAAATCTTACATCCTGCTCCTTGGAATTTCTCCAGAACTTCTCAT